AGAAGCAGCCAAAATGAGGAGACAAAGAAACATGTCCTAAATGAAAGAAAAGAACAAAACTCCAGGAAAAGAACTAAACAAAATGGAGATAAACAGTCACTCAGATGCAGAGTTCGAAACACAAGTCATAAGGTTGCTCAAGAAACTTGGTGAGACATTCAAGGGACTTAGTGAGACCTTTCAGGAACTTAAGGAGACCTCCAAGGAACTTAGTGAGAACATCAACAACATCAAAAAGGACCAGTCAGAAATGAAGGATGCGCTAACTGAAATAAAGAATAATTTACAGGGAATCAATAGTAGAGTAGGTAAAGCCAAGAAGCAAACCAGCGATTTGGAATATAATTAAGCAAAAACAACCCAATCAAAACAGTAAAAAGAAAAAAGAATCCAAAAAAAATGAGGATAGTGTGAGGAGCCTCTGGGACAAATTCAAGCATACCAACATTTGCATCATAGGGGTGCCAGAAGGAGAAGAGAGAGAACAAGAAATCAAAAACCTATTTGAAAAAATAATGACAGAAAACTTCCCTAACTTGGTGAAGGAAAGAGACATACAAGTCCAGGAAGCACAGAGAGTCCCAAACAAGTTGAACCCAAAGAGGTCCACACCAAGACACATCATCATCAAAATGCCAAAGGTTAAATACAAAGAGAGAGCCCTGGCCGGTTTGGCTCAGCGGTTAGAGCGTCGGCCTGTCGTACAGAGAGACCCGGGTTCGGTTCCCGCTAAGGGCAAGTACCTCGGTTGCAGTTTGTCCCCAGCCCTGGATGGGTCGTGCGGGTGGCAGCCACTTGATGTTTACCTTTCACGTCGATGTTTCTCTCTCTTTCTTCCTCTCTCTCCCACCCGCTCTATCTGAACAAAAAATGAAAAAATGTCCTCAGGTGAGGATAAATAAATAAATACATACATACATACATACATACACAGAGAGAATCTTAAAAGCAGCAAGAGAAAAGCAGTCCATTGCCTACAAAGGAGCTCCCATAAGACTGTCAGCTGATTTCTCAAAAGAAACTTTGCAGGCCAGAAAGGAGTGGCAAAAGATATTCAAGGTGGTGAAAAGCAATGACCTACAACCAAGATTACTCTATCCTGCAAAGCTATCATTTAGAATCAATGGACATATCAAGTGTTTCCCAGACAAGAAAAAGCTAAAGGAGTTCATCACCACCAAACCAGTATTATATGAAATGTTGAAGGGTCTTCTTGAAGGAGAAGGAGAACAAAAACATGAACAATAAAATGGCAGTAAATACATACCTATCAACAATTGAATCTACAAACAAAATGAGCAAGCAGAACAGAAACAGACTCATAGATACAGAGAACTTTTGATTGCTTGCCAGATGGATGGGGGCTGGAGGGATGGGTGAAAAAGATGAAGGAATTAAGAAGCACAAATTGGTTTTTAGACTGGTGAACCTCAAAGGAAAGGGGGAAGAGAAGGTGGGATGAGATAAACCAAAGAACTTCTATGCATAGATGCATAACCAATGGACACCAACAATAGTGCGGGGAAGGCAGGAGGGGGGCAGGATTGGGGAGGAGGGGGTCAATGGGGAAAAAAGAGGGGGACCATCTATAATACATTCAACAATAAAGATGAGTTTTTAAAAAAGAAAATAAGAATGAGCCACTACCAATCACCTCAGCATACCCAGAAATTAGTTCATTCATTCATTCAACAAATATACCAACCACATGCCCTATGCCAATCACTGAAGCCTGCCTCAGGAATCCAACAGACTGCACCCCAGAAAGAGACTGCCTAGGACCATCCAGCTCAGTGACAGCAAAAACAAATCGGCATTCAAATTGAAAGCAAAATACAAAGAAAGCCCAAACCAACAGAATGAGCGTGAGAGAGAGACTTCAGGGACATGGACAACCGCGGGTGACTGCAGCTGGGGGAGAAGAGGGGGTGGAGGTAGAAGAGGGCATAGAGGAGACAAATGGTGATGGAAAAAATAAAATAAAATAAAATAAAGAGAATGAATGTGAGAAATCCAAATCCTGAAAGCGAACATTTACAGCAGACTCCAAAGGTGAGTATCATTTGAATAAGGAAGAGGCCCACAGACTCTTCGCTTTACTGCACCCAAAAAAAACTTCCTAGTATTGATAACCATAAAACTAACTCTTTCAACTTGAACTAAAAGTTATTTCATAAGTGAAACGATTTTGGGGTTACTTTTTATATTTTTAGTAAGGCCCAAAACGCTTAAACGAAACCACTGTTAACTAACCTACTTGTACCCATAGAACAGTGTCAGGATTGAAATCTGATTAAGTCTCAAATATGTGCCCTGAGGTCTGGTTCGGCGAAGACAACCAAAGGCCAAGAAATTGGAACTGTAAAGAAAAAACACTTGAGGTTCACCAAAGAAAATGTACTGTAAACCACTATGACTCAGAAAGAGACAGAAAAAACCACTATGATTCAGCATCTAATGAATTTTGTTACTGTTATTGCATATTTCTTAAGACTCAAGTGTCCTAAGTACCCAGAACTGGTCTCTATTAGTCACAGGCAATCCTGGACACAATTCCTGAGAGGAAGGAGTTACAAGGAGCCCTCTACTAGAAATTTCAGTAAGCATGGAAATAGCAGACCAAGAAAATATAACAGCCTAAGTACCCGAAAGAATAAATGAACAAGGGGGAAATGCTTATTAGGTTAAGAAAACCTGGCCAGCCCTGGCCGGTTTGGCTAAGCGGTTAGAGCATCAGCCTGCGGTCCAGAGAGACCCAGTTCGGTTCCCGCTAAGGGCACGTACCTCGGCTGCAGTTTGTCCCCAGCCCTGGTTGGGTCGTGAGGGTGGCAGCCACTCGATGTGTCTCTTTCACGTCGATGTTTCTCTCTCTCTCTCTCTCCCTCCCACTCTACCTGAACAGAAAATGGAAAAATGTTCTCTGGTGAGGATAAAAAACAAAAATCAGGAGGACACCTCGGCTGGGAAGGTCCTCCCTGAGGACTGAGGGATCCCCGTCCCACACCAGGTGCCCCGCTCAGGGTTCCAGTGCCAGGAAGAGAATCCCCATCACTTCTGGCTGGAAAACCAGCGGGAACTGAGCTCAGGGAGGCTGAGGCGGCTGGAGCCCCAGGCAGCTCCTTAAAGGGCCCGCGCACGGACTTATCGGACTCTCTCCCTCTGAGCTCGGAGGGGAGGCAGCTCGAGGGGCGCCAGAGACATACAGGGAAGAACTGAGCTGTTTGGCACTGGAGCGAGGGCTGGAGAGGGGGCTTTCCCTGGGACAAATGTGCTGTCAGAGGCCTTTGGTCCTTTGGTGAGCCCTTCCCTGGGGTGGCACACAGCTGCCATATCTGGGGCTCCAGCAACCTGGCTCTCACTGGTAGCCCCGCCCTCGTGACTCCCTGAGGCCCCGCCCTGCCCCACCCAACTTTCAGGCCCACCCAAGCTGTTGCCAGTTGCTTTACCATAGGATTGACCTGTTTTGGATCCTGCTTCAGGTTTTCTTAAATTCTTTCAAACAAGCAGCATCTGGTCTCAGCTAGCGCCATATCTCTTGTTAAGTAATACATAGAAACAAACACAGGGAGGCAGCCAAAATGAGGAGACAAAGAAACAGGTCCCAAATGAAAGAACAGAACAACACCCCAGGAAAAGAACTATGCGAAATGGAGATAAGCAACCTCACAGATGCTGAGTTCATAATACTGCTTATAAGGATGCTCAATGAACTTAGTGAGAACCTCAGCGAATTTAGTGAGGGCCTCAAGAGCATAAAAAAGAACCAGTCAGAAATGAAGGATGCACAGTCAGAAATGAAGGAGGCACTAACTGAAATAAAGAATAATTTACACAGATTCAGTAGTAGAGTAGGTAAAGCCAAGAAGCAAACCAGCGATTTGGAATAAAAGGAAGCAAAAAACACCCAATCAGAATAGCAAAAACAAAGAAGAATCCAAAAAAGTGAGGACAGTGTAAGGAACCTCTGGGACAACTTCAAGCGTGCCAACATTTGCATCTTGGGGGTGCCAGAAGGAGAAGAGAGAGAACAAGAACTCAAAAACCCATTTGAAACAAGAATGGCAGAAAACTTCCCTAACTTGGTGAAGGAAACAGACATACTAGTCCACGAAGCACAGAGAGTCGCAAACAAGATGAACCCCAAGAGGCCCACATCAAGACACATTATCATCAAAATACAAAAGGTTCAAGACAAAGAATATTAAAAGCAGCAAGAGAAAAGCAGTTAGTTACCTACAAGGGAGTTCCCATAAGACTGTCAGCTTATTTGTCAAAAGAAACTTTGCAGGCCAGAAGGGAGAGGCAAGAAATATTTAGAGTGATGAAAAGCAAGAACCTACAACCAAGATTACTCTATCCTGCAAAGTTGTCATTTAGAATCGATGGCCATAAAAAGATTTTCCCAGACAAGAAAAAGTTAAAGGAGTTCATCACCACCAAACCGTTATTATATGAAATGTTGAAGGGTCTTTTTGAAGAAAAAGATAAAATATATGAACAAACAAAATGGCAATGAATACATATCTATCGACAATGGAATCCACAAACAAAATGAACAGGCAGAACAGAAACAGTCTCATAGATACAGAGAACATTTTGTTGGTTGCCAGATGGGAGGGGAGTTGAGGGAATGGGTTAAACAGTGAAGGGATTAAGAAGTACAAATTGGTTGCTAGAATGACAAACCTCAAAGAGAAGGGGGTTGGGGGTTGGGAAGAAATAAATAAAGAACTTATATGCATAACCAATGGACACAGACAACAGTGTGGGGAAAGGCAGGAGGGGGGCATGAGCGGGGAGGAGGGGGTCAATGGGGGGAAAATGAGGAACATCTGTAATACATTCAACAATAAAGATTAAAAAAGAAGAAAAAAGAAGAAAACCTTCAAATGAATGTTTTGTGTTCTCTACCAAGTCAACATTAGAGAATATCTATTCTTTCATAATATTAAAAAGCCTAGTTTTTAATACAGATTCTTCATTAGGAAAAAAGTTCTTACCTGAGACAGAGTAGACACAGAGTTTTCTGGAATGCAGCACAGCCAGATGAAGCGTTTCAGTACCTCTGAAAAATGGGGAAAGTTTTAAAAGTTTAAATATTAGTTTCCGATGCAACCAAAAGGCTGTAGAATAAATTTTAAAAGTGATTATAACCACAGTCTGCCATGGTAAACTAAGTCACCAGATAACATTCTAAGCTGAAAAATAAAGGTAACAACAAACAGCCGGTTTGACAGTCCTGGGAGCCCAGGGCTGGGCCTTACGGAGCGGCCGAGGGACCCTCCCTCCCAGAAAGTCCTGTGGAAGGCTCTTCTGAGTGCTGTCCCACAGCACAGAGACCCACACGTCCTGGCTCTCCAGCCAATTCACCTGTGACCTTGGGCAAGTCCCTTAATCTCTCTGGGCCTGTTCTCCCTTCTGGAAAATAAGAGGTTTCCATTGAATGAAATAAAATCATGTGACAGCACCTTGTAAACTAAAAGCACCATAGAGTGCTAACCATGATTAAACAATAGTAATGATTTTAAATGACGCTCATCACGTCTAGCTCTGAAACATTATGAAAGGTACTGAAAATATTTCAGCTTAGCCACTGCTACCACTCACTGCCCAGCCTGTCAAGTGGTTTTGAGGGACAAGGAAGGCAGAGTCTAGAAATCCGAAATTCAAAGTCTGCAAGGGTCAAGCCAGTGGGTATAAATGAGTAAAGGTGTAAATGGTTGTAGTCACTGGACATGGGGTGGTGGGGGGGGATGGACTAAAGGCCATTGCTACTCAGTTCTGGGCTTGTGGCCAGATCTCCACACTTTTTTTCCCCAAGAAAAGCCAGAATGTATGCAAAATCTCCTGCTCCATATATATGTGTGTGCATGTGGGGTGTGTGTGGGTGTATATACATATGAGTTTATTTGAGCCAACTGACTTCATATGCTGGGAAGCAAGACCTTTTCCTGTTCTCAAATGTTGGCAAGTCCCTTCCATCTCAGACACACCTGCCAGCAGGCCTCCAAGGTCGGAACTGCGTTCTACACTGTTCTAAACTGCAGGGATGAGAGTTGACATCTTAGGACCTGGTTCAGACCCTGACTCAGTACCTTGATATTTGTGTGATCATTCAGTCTTTCAGAGGGTTAGTCTCTCACTTAGAAAATAAGAATTATATTTCCTGAAACTTGCAAAACATTGTTACAATGAATACATAAATACCCACCACTTGCTCTACTACGAGAGGATGCAAATCCACACAACCATCATTATTTGATATTGCCTTCAGACATTTTTATATGTGCCCTGAACACTCAAAACAAGTTTTCCATTGTGCACAGGAAAAGATAGTAGAGAGTGGAGTCCGGCAGGCCTGGGTCTGAACCCCCTGGGTGACCTCCAGCTCTGAGCTCCAGCTAGTTTCCTTATCTCTGAATGCAGATCACATCTCAGAGACAAGAGTGATGAGATGGTACTAGTTCATTAATACTAGTACAGTATCCACTCACTAATGTTAACCTCCTCCCTTCCAACAAGTGATCACATAGATGAAGTCCACACTTAGGACTGCTGGATAAAATGACTGTCATAGCATTTCACTTTTTTTTTTTTTGGTGGTACCTGCCCCTAGCAGGAACCAAACCCGGGACTCTCTGGCCCACAGGCAGATGCTCAACCGCTGAGCCAAACTGGCCAGGGCACATTTCACTTTTTAAAAAGACAAAAAGGTCAGCATCCTTTTCGCCCCTCACTGTGTATATAGTATGTGCTAAGCACACAATGGCACCTGATCGCACCAGCCTGTAGATGGAGAAGTCACCGACCACAGCAGTCACATCTCCCTGATGCACCCTGTCACCGTGCACAAAAGCCCTGGCCTAGCCATCCACGAAGCAGCTGCCCATCAGGAGAGGGGTACGGGGCAGGAGCGGTTGTTCAGGTTTCTCCAGCAGGACTCGGGGCCCTGAATAAATGGAAGCTGGGGCCAATAAGTTATGATGAGCAGATAAGATGAGGGGAGCCAAAATCCAGAGCTCAGGGCACTCTGGGACTCAAGAAGCCAAAAGAGGGGTCCAAAAGAAGAGGCAGGGGAGAACGAGACCACCGCTGCCTACGTAACTTCTCACAATGGATACTTTCCTAAGTGATAAACACAGGCTTAAGGCTGAGTACTGCCGTTTGTGACAACATGGGTGGATCCTGAGAGTATCATGCTAAGCAATGTAAGTCAAATGGAAAAGGACAAGAACCATATGATTTCACTCCTATGTGGGATATAAAACAGAAAGCAATAAACAAACAAGCAAAACAAGTAAGTTCATAGGCACGGACAATAGTATGGTGGTTACCAAAAGAAAAGGGGAAAAGAAAAGAATAAAAAGAATAAGGGGTCAGATATATGGTAAGAGACGGAGACAGGACTTCGGGTGGTGTTCTGTACACAACACCATGTACAGATGATGTATCACAGAAAGGTACACTTGAAACCTATATAATTATTAACCAATGTCCCTCGATAAATTTAATTTAAGAAAAAGAAATACAGGCTTATTTTAAGAAAATTCATGTATGAAAATAAGATAAAATCAGCAATATCATCAGTAAATAAAAAGCAGACATAGTAAACAAAATGTAAACTAATAAACAGTTTTCTAAAATAAATTAGGTTTAAAAGTATAAAGTACGTTGAAACAAAGCTCCTGTAAGGGAAGACTTAACTTCATTGGTTGATCTGGCTTCTTTTAAGAAACTAAGGACCTCTCGCCCTGGCCGGTTTGGCTCAGCGGTTAGAGCATCGGCCTGCGGTCCGGAGAGACCCGGGTTCAGTTCCCGCTAAGGGCACGTACCTCGGTTGCAGTTTGTCCCCGGCCTTGGTTGGGTCGTGTGGGTGGCAACCACTCGATGTGTCGCTTTCACGTCGATGTTTCTCTCTCTCTCTCTCCCTCCCACTCTATCTGAACGAAATATCGAAAAATGTCCTCGGGTGAGGATAAAAAAAAAAAAAAAGAAAGAAACTAAGGACCTCTCTACCCCAAACAAGTAATTCATTTTAAAGCTTCAAAGTTATATTGGCATAACTGCTACTTTATCTAATTATTTAAAGAGACATTTACACAACCTGAACATTTAGTGTTTAAGTAAGTGAATACTTTCTATTTCTATATCTGGTTATTTGCAAAAGTTTATCTCTTTTCCGTTAAGTTTCTGATCCATCAGGCATCTTAGATCTGTTACTACTTTTTAAAAATGTCCTAAATGATTTTATCTTAAATGTATAGGCTTCCATGTTAAAAAAAAAAAAAAAATCAGTACACAAGGAATACCTAGGTGACAATATGCAGAAAATATATCGAATCCACAAATGTGACACGGTAAGAGATTGAAGAGAACGATACACTCCAAGTAAAATAAAATGCCAGAATCTGTGGGCCGTACTTACGAAACAAACTTTCCTACTTCTACTTGCAGTATTGGATCTCGTAGATGAACTTCTAGAAGCAAATCTTCAGCTTGAGCTCCATCTCCTGTTTTTACAGGATGGGGGCTAAAGATTCGTAGGTATCCCATAAAGCTACCCACAATTATTTTATCTGTAGAGAGATTTAAAGAAAATCAGGAAGAAATAGTGACAAAATTTCTTTGGAAATAAACTTTGTAATGGTAATGACTCTTTTAAGTTGCCAAATAGCAGGGGAATCATGAGGTGTTTTTCGTGGGGTTTTTTTTGTTGTTGTTTTTTATCCTCATCCGAGGACATTTTTGTACCCATCCTCAGATAGAGCAGGAGGGAGAGTGGGAGGAAGAGAGAGAGAGAAACATTGATGTGAGAGAGACACATCGACTGGTTACCACCCACACGACCCCAACCGAGGCCAGGGACAAACTGCAACCAAGGTACATGCCCTTAGCAGAAACCAAACCAAGGGCTCTCTGGTCTGCGGGCCGACACTCTAACTAACCTCTGCGCCAAACCAGCCAGGGCAATAAGCATTATTTTTAAGAGGTCAATGACTATCCAGATTAAAAAAAAAAAAAACTCATCTCTATAAATCATTAAAAAGCAAATACAAATTTCAAATAATGATAGAGAACTAAAATGTTTTAAAGACCACCTTAAAAATATGAAGATGCAGCCCTGGCCGGTTTGGCTCAGCGGTTAGAGCGTCGGCCTGGGGTCTGGAGAGACCAGGGTTCGGTTCCCGCTAAGGGCACGTACCTCGGTTGCAGTTTGTCCCCGGCCCTGGTTGGTCGTGCGGGTGGCAGCCACTCGATGTGTTCCTTTCGCATCGATGTTTCTCTCTCTCTGTTCCTCTCTCTCCCTCCCACTCTACCTGAACAAAAAATGGAAAAATGTCCTCGGGTGAGGATAAAAATAAATAAATAAATAAATAAAAATATGAAGATGCAAACAGGAGTACCTAATATAAGAATAAAATAGAATGTTGTTTCTAGTATGATAATATGAAAATGAAAACAATGATTTAACAGTTGTTTTCTACAAACTAATAGAGCTTACATAATTTCTCCATTCTTGTATGAATGGCTTTCAGATTCAATTTGAAAAGAATGTAATTTGCTTCCTGTGCAGAGAGCACTCTTGCAAACATAGTAAACATTCCTTAAACCCACTGGAACTTCCTTTTTGTTTTTTATTGATTTTGAGAGAGAGAGTAAGGGAGAGGGAGAGAGAAAGAGAAAAACAAGGATGTGAGAGCAAAACATCAATGGGCTGCCTCCTGCGCACCTCCTACTGGGGATTGAGCCTGCAACCTGGGCGTGTGCCCTGACCAGGAATCCAACCAGCAACCTTCCAGTGAACAGGACAATAACCTACTGAGCCACACTGGCCAGGGCAAACCTGCTGGACTTTCTATAAGAAGTGTGGCAAGCATCAGCCCCACAAAGGAACACAGTACAAGAACAGCAAGGATGCTCTATATTTGCAGGGACGGCACATTATGACAGGAAGCTGGGTGGCTATGGTGGGCAGACTAAGCCGATTTTCCACAAAACGGCTAAAACTACAAAGATTGTGCTGAGGCTTGAAGAGTCCAACTGCAGGTCTAAGAGAATGCTGGCTATTAAGAGAGTGCAGCATGTCGAACTGGGAGGAGATACGAGAAAGGGCCATGGCTACCTGGTAGCTCAATTGGTTAGAGCATCATCCTGATACACTAAGGTTATGGTTTGATCACTGGTCAGGGCATATACCAGTGAATGCAGAAGTAAGTGGAATAACAAATTGGTTTCTCTCTCCCCCCATCCTTCCTCCCTCTCTCTCTCTAAAACAATAAAAAATAACAATTAAAAAGAAGAGAAAGGGCCAAGTGATCCAGTTCTAAGCTTCATATTTTGTTTTATTATGTGACAATAAAATCTTGCGGATAAATTAATAAATAAAAAGAACGTAATTTTTCTTTCAAATAATTTCTAAAAAAGAAACTTTTTCAAAATTCAAAGTATTTTACTAGTTCTAATTTTGCAACAAATGAAAACAAATTAAACGATATTTTATCATTTTTTTCTGAGTTCCAGCAAAGAGCATGACAGAATCAACGAAACCAGAAAGACACAAACTGCTAAACAGACGAATTGTATTTATCATCCTGCTACCTAAAGATCACTTATAAGAATAACTTCAGCCCTGGCTGGTATGGCTCAGCAGTTAGAGCATCAGCCTGCGGTCCAGAGAGACCCAGGTTCGGTTCCCGCTAAGGACGCGTGCCTCGGCTGCAGTTTGTCCCCAGCCCTGGTTGGGTCATGCGGGTGGCAGCCACTCGATGTGTCTCTTTCACGTCGATGTTTCACTCTCTCTCTCTTCCTCTCTCTCCCTTCCACTTTATCTGAATAAAAAATGGAAAGGTGTCCTCAGGTGAGGATAATAAAAAAAAAAAAAAAAGAATAACTTCAAAATGAGGGCATAATTATGACAGGTCACTGAGGTTCTATCAAGTACATATTTTAAAAGGAAGTTGTTTTTATGTCGTCTCTATAATGCTTTACTCCGAGATACAGAGTCATAAGCTACTTACCTTCTCCATTTCCAGTATTATCAACATCAGCCAAACACAAACAGCCTTGATCAAATTCTTCTTTTTCTCCCAGAACAGTAGACCACCAATCACGGGCTTTAAATAAAGACATTTTCGTTCACTCTAAAAAGAAAACATGTATTTATAGTAAAAATCCATTTCACACCATGAATTATGAATTAATTACCTGTTAAGGCAAACAAATTAAACTTGGACAACATTGAGAAAAACATTCCTGTATTAACTTTATTTATTTTTTTGTATTTGGTGGACCTATGTGGAACCACAAATCCAAATGGGAGGAAGCATTAATCAGATATTTTGCAAGGACCTTGGAAAGTCAGGCTGAAAAATTACACATTTATGTTGGACCACTTCTCTCTTCTGTGAGATTTCGTAGACAACTGCACAAAGTAACAAAAAAATATTCTTTGGAAGATCAAGGTTGAAATTCTAGCATCACTAGTTAGCACATAATTCCTTAGCACAAGACCTAATGTCTCTTCAGTGTGGCCACTGGGAAGGCTGCAGCACCTCCTGCCACAATGAGTTGCTGAGAAGAGCCAATGAGATCGATGCCGCAAATGACTAACACCGGAACTGGTATATTACAGTACTCAAAGGGCACTCCCTCCCCTCCCCCAGTATAACTGTACAAAGGCCCGATGAAAAAAGGGAAATCCACACCAAAAAAGCAGCAGGAAAACTAGGTTATAGATGCATTTATACCATCACCTACCTGTGGTGACCTCGAGCAACCCACACCCCTCTCTGGGCTTTGATTCCTCATGTAGAACAAGGATATACCAGCCATACCTACCCCTGAGTTACTGAGGTGGTGTTTGTGAAAGCCCACTGGACTTTCACAATAGCCAAAAGGCAGAAGCAACCCAAGTGGCCATGGACGAATGAGTTAGATAAACAAAATGTGGCAGAGACGTACAATGGAATACTATCGGCCTTAAAAAGTAAGGAAACTCTAAAACACGCTAGCGTGGATGAGCCTCCTGGACATCATGCTAAGTGAAACAGGCCGAGGGTAGTCAGGCTCACAGGGAGAAGAATGGTGGCTGCCAGGGCTGGGAGGAGGAGGAAACGGGGATTAGTACAGTTTCAGTTTTGCAGGATGAAGAATCTTGGACATGCGTTGTACACAACTGTTAATGTACTCAACACTACTGGACTGTATGCTTAAAAATGGTTAAGATGGTAAAATTTATCTGTATTTCACCACGATTAAAAATAAAAACTTTTAGCCCTGGCCGGTTGGGCTCAGCAGTTAGAGTGCTGGCCTGTGGACCAACGAGTTGCGGGTTCGGTTCCAGCCAAGGGCACGTACTGGTTGCGATTCGTCCCAGGCCCTGGTTGGGGTCATGCAGAGGCAGCCCCTCTATGTGTCCCTTTCATGTCCATGTTTCTCTCTCTGTCTCTCTTCCTCTATCTCCCTCCCACTCTATCTGAACAAAAATGGAAAAAAGTCCTCAGGTGAGGATAAAAAAATTAATTAAAACTTTTAGTTAAAAAAGGGAATATATTAGTACATTAACACAATACTTAGCACATAGTAAGCGCTCAATAAATGTTAGCCTTTGGTATGGTTTTTACACTTTTCATGATTTCTTAAACCTAAAATGAAGAAAAAAAAACAAAAAGTCTTTCAATGTGTAAATAGCTAAAAAAACAAAACAAGCCCTGGCCGGTTTGGCTCAGCAGTTAGAGCATCGGCCTGAGGTCCAGAGAGACCTGGGTTTGGTTCCCGCTAAGGGCATGTACCTTGGTTGCAGTTTCTCCCCGGCCCTGGTTGGTCGTGCAGGTGGCAGCCACTCGATATGTCCCTTTCATGTCGATGTTTCTCTCTCTCTCTTCCTCTCTCTCCCTCCCACTCTACCTGAACAAAAAGTGGAAAAATGTCCTCGGGTGAGGATTTAAAAAAAGAAAAAAAACTGTGACACATTCATACCACGGAATAAAACTCAGCAATTTTTAAAAACAAAATAACAACTTGGATGGCTCTAAAGGGCTGAGTGAAATAACACACCCAATCCCAAAAGGTCACCTACTGAACAACTCCGTTTCTTTTTAGCTGTTGTTAATCCTCACCCAAGGATATTTTTCCATTGATTTTAAATAGAGTGAAAGGGAGAGAGTGAGAGAAACACTGATGTGAGAAAGAGACACATCAATTGGTTGCCTGCCCCAAGACCCAGGTATGGAACCTGCAACCCAGGTAGGTGCCCTTGACCAGGAACTGAACCCGAAACCCTTCAGCCCTCACACCAATGCTCTAACCGCTGAGCCAAACCAGACAGGGTTTAAACAATCCATTTCTATAACATTTTCAAAATGATAAAACTGAACTGATGGGGAACAGATAGATTACTGGTTGCAGGGCCAGGAGAGGGTGTGGCTTTCACAGGCTAGAGCAAGGAAATTTCTTTGAGATGATGAAAAGCTCTGTAATCTGACATTGGTGATGGTTTCAGGGGATAATTTTAATTTCTCAGAACTATATGCCGAAAATAAAAATGTATGGGATGTAAAACCTGGTGAAATTGAAGTAAGATCTGTATACTATTGTACGAATACAAATTTAATGGTTTTGATCATTGTTATCATTGGGAAGCCACTATTATTGCAACTTCTATGTGAGTATAAAATTATTTCAAAATGACAAGTTTAAAGAAACAAACTACTTTAAAAAAGAATAAAGGGCCCTGGCTGGTTTTGCTCAGTGGTTAGAGCATCAGCCTGCGGTCCAGAGAGACCCGGGTTCAGTTCCCGCTAAGGGCACGTACCTCGGTTGCAGTTTGTCCCCGGCCCTGGTTGGGTCGTGTGGGTGGCAACCACTCGATGTGTCCCTTTCACGTCGATGTTTCTCTCTCTCTCTCCCTCCCACTCTATCTGAACAAAATATCGGGAAAATGTCCTCGGGTGAGGATTAGAAAAAAGAAGAAAAACTCCATCCCAGGCCATGATAAAAGTGAAAAAAATACAAAGCAGAAAACTTGATGAGTTTTAATATACATGCGAGGGCTTCTGAAAAACATGTGCACCGCTCATTATTACTAATGGAGCCATCTAACCACACAGGTTGCTGGATAACTAAACCTCAAATCTGGCAACAAGTATTCAAAAAATGTAATGAACACTTTTATTACACTTTCATTGAAGTTTTTATTTGAGAAGGAAGTAACAGTATTTAATAACTGCCATATATTCTCAGCATGTACTCCAGATACATCGGAGATTCATAAAATGCCATACTTATTGGACTACCGGGATGAAGATACATCATTCTCTTGCAGCCCAGAACAGGATATTACTCAAATTCAACACCCCTCAGTGATTCACTAGGCGGACTCACAGCACTCAGCATATAGTCAGCATTGGGGCTATGATTTATCTCAGAGAAAGGATACAAAGCATAATCAGGAAAGGGAAAAGGTGCACGGGGTGGGGAGAGGGGCGTCATCTGGAGGAAACCAAGCACAAGCTTCCCAGCTGGAAGGACTGGGCTCTAGGTCAGAGGTAAGGGAGAAGAGAGGAGTCAGCCAGGAAACTAAACAGGGGCACCCAATGAGATCAAAGGAAAACCAGGATTGCTATCTGGAGGGAAATGAGAAAAAGTATATCTAGAAAAAGGGAGTGACCAGCATTATGGAATGCTGTTGATACATCATAAAGAATAAGCCCCGCCAGTGTGGCTCAGTGGTTGAGCATCGACCCATGCACCTTCCTCTCTCTCCCTCCCTCCCACTCTATCTGAAGATAAATAGAAAAATATCCTCAGGTGAGGATTAAAAAAGAAGGTGGGAACAGTGCTAACTGAAACCTAGGTCCAACAAATGCTCGTCCTCACAAGACCACAGCTACCTTACTTCAAACCAATTGACTTTCATCCCAGGGCAAAGCACAGGTAATGCATAGCAAATCTGTGTAAATTACATTACATCCAAATCCTGCATATTGGTTCCCCCATGTTCCAGATGGTACAGTGTACCACTGTGGGCAATAATGTTTTTTTAATTGAGGAGAGAGAGAGAGAAACACTGATTTGTTCTTCCACTTATTCATGTATTCATTGGTTGCTTCTTGTATGTGCCCTCCAGACTGGGGATCAAACCCACCCCCTTGGCATATTGGAACAACGCTCCAACCAACGGAGCAACCCGACCAGGGCAACAATAATTTATTAGATAAGGACTTACATCTTTAAAAAGTTAGTGAACAACAGGAAAAGCAACAACTGGGGCTGATGGTCAGTATCTAGTACTTGTTTCCGAACTGCCTCCCCCTGATTTCAGAAACAGAAGCAAAGGAAGGCGCACAGCCCACTCCCAAAAGATTGAGAAATCACAACGCTCATCTGTGCTAAGTTGGCATATCATTCATTTCCTTTCCAAAAATTGGTGAATTTTAAAATGACAACTTAGCTGCAAGGCAATGGATGTTAAAGGGGAGATCCTTTCCACTTTGGCCTCAAAGATGGGTTTGATGGCAGTCTGAACAACTCAGGTTGCTAGGTACCCTGTTTGAATGAAGTGCTGCCACACGCCACAGCGTGGATGGACCTTGAAAACATTGCACTAAGAGAAAGAAGCCAGTCACCAAAGACCACATATTTTATGATTCCATTTATACAAAGTGTACCGACTAGGCAAATCTATAGAGACAGAAAGTAAATTAATGGTTGCTTAGGTCTGATGCGGATGAGAGCACAGGAGGTGAAGAGTGAAGCTTTCCTTTTGAGTGATGAAAATATTCAAAAATTGCAATTGCACATATCTGAGACCATACCAAAAAAAAACAAAAAACCCACTGAATTGTACATATTAAATGGGTGAATTGTATGGTGTATGAATTACATTTCAATAAGGCTGTTATTTTTAAAAGAATAGTGTTGGATACACAAGAGGTTGTTTTACCTTTCTTTAGGCTTTTGTTTATGTTTAAAATTTCCCATAATGGCCTCCTTGGCCAATGTAGCTCAGTTGGTTGGGTGTCATCCCATGCACCAAGAGGTAGCCCGTTCGATTCTCAGTCATGGCACATGTTCTAGTTGCAGGCTCAATGCCCAGTAGGGGGCATGCAGGAGGCAGCTCATGAATGTTTTTCTCTCACATCGATGTTTCTCTCTCTACCTCTCCTTCCTTTTCTCTCTCTCTCTCTAAAATCAATAAAAACATATTTTTAATGTTCCCATAAAAAAAATAATAAAATTAAGTTTCACCATTTTTTTAATCAACACCCAAGGATAGATTTCCTTTTTTTTTTTTTTTCAGACACAGAGGGAGGGAGGGATAGAGAGAGAAGGAGAGAGAGAGAAACATGGATGTGAGAGAGACATATGACTAGTTGCCTCCCGCACGACCCAACCAGGGCTGGGGACCAAACTGCAACCAAGATACATGCCCTTGACTGGAATCAAATCCATGACTCCTTGGTCTGCAGGTCGATGCTCAAACCACTGAGCCAAACCAGCCAGAGCAAGTTTCACTTTTTTTTTTTTAATCCTCACCCAAGGACATTTTTGCATTTATCTTCAGATAGAGCAGGAGGCAAGGAGGGAGAAAAAGAGAGAGAGAAACATCAATGTGGGAGAGACACATCGACCTGTTGCCACCCACACGAACCCAACCAGGGCCAGGAACAAACTGCAATCAAGGTACTTGACTTAGTGGGAACCAAACCCAGGACTCTCTGGTCCGCAGGCTGATGCTCTAACTGCTGAGCCAAACCAGCAAGGGCAAGTTTTACTTTTTTTTATTAAGGGTATTTGGGCCATATTTCCCATTGTAACAGAAGAAAATAGGTTAGCACATTAAATTGAGATGGTCAGCAAAATAAATTCTACCCTCCCTCCTAGAAGAACAACCCACCACATTGAGAAAAAGAAAAACTAGCCATAAATAAAATGCTAATTCATTTTCCAAGCTCAGAAAGATACAGGCCTTGACTTCAGGGTAGTAAGGTAAGCAGTGGGTAGAGGAAGTCAGTTACTTATAGATTAGGAAGAAGGAAGATAAAGAAAAATATTACCCGGCCAATGTGGCTCACTAGTTGAGCATCAACCCATGCACCAAGAGGTCGCTAGTTTGATTCCTGGTCAGAGCACATGCCCAGGTTGTGGGCCCAGTCACCAGTAGGGGGCATGCAGGGGACAGCCAATCAATATTCTCTCTCATCAATGTTTCTATCTCTCTCTAAAATCAATAAAGAAAAAATATTTTTTTAAAGAAAGAAAAATATTAACGGCATTTTTCAATCATGAAACCTCACTTTTCCATTACAAAAACAAAAAGTATTCCATGCCCCGCCGGTGTGGCTCAGTGGTTGAGCATCGACCCATGCACCAAGAGGTAGCCAGTTCCATTCCCCGTCAGGACACATGCCCAGGTTGTGGGCCAAATCCCCAGTGGGGAGCATGCAGGAGGTGGCAAATCGATGTTCTCTCTCATTGATGTTTCTCTCTCTCTCTCCCTCTCACTCGCTCTCGCTCTAAAATCAATAAAGAAAAAAAAAGTGTGAAACTTTTTAAATTACTATATACTATTGAAATTGATTTTTTCCCCTTCAGTGAATGTTTCTATCAATAAGTTGTACCATATCCCTGGCCAGTTTTGCTCAGTAGTTAGAGCATCGGCTCACAAACCGAAGAGTTTTGGGTTCGATTCACGGTCAAGGGCATGTACCTGGGTTGCAGGTTTGATCCCTGGCCCTGGTGAGGGCTATGAGGGAGGCAAAAAAATCAATGTATCTCTCTTGCATCGATGTTTATCTTTTTCATTTCTTTTTCTCTCTCTCTCTTCTTCCCTCCCTCCCACTCTCTCTAAAAATCAATGGAAAAGTATCCTCCAGTGAGGATTAACAAAAATAAAATAAAGTAAGTTATACCATGAACATAAGTGTAATTATAATTTAAGGACATTACATGACATGAAAAATCCCTTAAATTCTCATTAATTCCTTATAAATTATTTGCAAATCTTTAAAAGTTTTTTAATTCTTCTAAAAAATGGTTCAGTCTATTCACACACATACACACACACACACACACACACACCTACCACCAATTATTCTCTACATATTTCTATTGAGAAAATCTCTCCCTCACTCTTGCCGGTTTGGCTCAGCGGTTAGAGCGTCAGCCTGCAGTCCAGATAGACCCAGGTTCAGTTCCCGCTAAGGGCACGTACCTCGGTTGCAGTTTGTCCCCGGCCCTGGGTGGGTCGTGCGGGAGGCAGCCACTCGATGTGTCCCTTTCACGTCGATGTTTCTCTCTCTCTCCCTCCCACTCTATCTGACCAAAAAATGGGAAAAATGTCCTCGAATGAGGATTTTAAAAAAAAGAAAAGAAAATCTCTCCCTCTCTGAAAGCTGGCAGACTTTAGTTAAGACCCATAGTTCCACATTGTGCATGTGTGTGATATGGTTTTATTTTTTTAGGTAAAAGTGAGATAGGAAAAAAAAATCCCCCACTGAATTTCTCCAGAAAATCTGAGTCAGCTGCAGGACTTGATTGGGGAAGGGAGCTGCTAGTCAGGTCAGTTCACTGAAACTGCTGTGGTCTGCAAAGTAAAGAGAGAAGGCGAAGCAATAATCCTATTGCAAGAAGGAATTAGGGGGTATTAGTACATGCATCCCACTTCACTCATAGGCTGAGAACTGCTTTGCCCATGTGCTCACAAGACCTGTTGAAGTGTCACAGGAGGAGGATGCTCGTGTACCACGTGACATTCCTGAACGGAATCTAAAAATTCTTACCACCCTTTCTCGAAAAATGTTCACAGGATCTCACACATACTGTGGTGGTACTTGTGTTTTGTTCTGTTTTCAACGCAAACATCCTTCTTGAGAAACCTATCACCCTATATCCCCGCAAACCATTACATGGCATCCAAGGGTCAATCTTGCCCACAAAATAAAAATCAGGAAGGGTATTCATGCATCCGATGTTTCATACCAGACATCCCTTCTTACCTGATGCCGAATCAGGTGGGTCCTGCCCTACCTCGCTTCGAACTCTTTCCGCAGATTTCCCTTTAAGAATGCCTGCCGGGTCCCAGGGCTCGAACGACGAGAGCAAGAGCGGAGGGTGCAGAGAAAAGCAACCCTTACCGCACTACTCCCTCTCGTTCTCCTGCTCCAACTTCTTCCACGTCCCGGGCAAGGAGAGAGCCTCACCAGGTGGCACCACCAGCTCCACAGAGTTGGAGGAATCACCCCAAGGAGCCTCTCTGCATCCCTTCTCTGTCACCCCCGAAGACAAGCAGGGGACACGGCATCAATCCCTTGGAAGAGACCAGGCAGGCAAGAACGGCAGGTCCTGCTGCTCACGAAGAGGAGGAAATGATGAAGAAGGCAGTGAGGGAGATGTAGCAGAAAAAGGACAGCAGCGGCTGAAGGGACACCTCCCCACTCGTGCCTAACTCCAAGCCTTCTTCGCCCTGTTGTCATAGCACTTTACAACGAACGCTACTGCGCAAGTCAGAAGGTTAAGCCCCGGTGCCTTCTGGGGGTTGTAGTCCAGGGTGGCTAAGGAGGACGGGAATAAGGGTCTTTTTCTGAGTAGGCGGTGCTTGGAATCAGATTTCTAGTGGGCGGGGCTGAAATGAACCACTGCCCGTTGCTCATTGGCAGAGAAAGATCATTAATTAAATTTCTTTTTCAGTCTTTGGACAGTTCCTGGAACGGTGCTGGGAGGAAGACCCGCCACTAGCCACCACTAGGGACTCAGGCCACGCCCTCCCGCCTTCCCGCTCCTTCTCTGACCGCGCCCCGCGACGCTCGTGGGTGGGGCTTTCTGCGGGGATGGGGTTCTGGGCTTTGGGGTGGCCACATCTTTTCCAGCCGTAGCCCACGTGGCTGGGTGCATAGACTGGGCAAAGTGGCCCGGATGGGCGTAGGGGTGGTGCTGGAAGACCCCAGGGAGGAAAACCAAGATCATGGAGACTGGGGCAATGGGTGCTTGTTTTTCCCTACTGGAACTGGTGCCGCTATAAAGTTATATGTACGTGGCTGCTGACTACATGTGCTAAATATTCTCTTTAGTATATACGTTGGACTGGATTTCCTGGTATATAAGTATGAAAATGTTGAACTTTATAATTGAACACAACGATAACGCGAATTTTTCAAACTTTTTTCCATCTTTCAACTGATTGTCGATTGTCAATTCAACACCAACAGAATCCCCAATAGGGGTGTGGTGAAGCAGGAAACTTTATTCAGGGCAAGCAGGCAATTGTGATACAGCACAGCTGTAGAACAGCGCGATGGTGTTACAACTCAACTATGAAGTCGCACAGCTGCAGCACAGAGGCAGCCAGCCCTGGGAGATGCTCCAGAGATGGCTTCAGCTTCAGCACAGGAAATACAGCCTTCTGGGGAAAGGGGAAAAGTGCGTCTCCAATCCAGAGAGGAGCTGATTTACATAGAAGTCCCGCTTCTCCTTGGTTTGCCCATCCTGACGCAACTGAGGACTCCAAATTCTGACAGTTTGGTCCAAAAAGAACTGTTCTGATTGGTTAAAATAGAGCTCTGAATGGTCAGGGATATAGCTGCAGAGCTCTGATTAAGCAGGGAGTGTCTCAGCCCTATGGGTTGAACTAGGATTCCAAGAACTCCTTTATAAAGGCTGGTTCAGATGGCAGGAGCACAGTGTAGGCAGTCAGCTCAGTGATGAAGGCAGATTCATTGCAGGCTTCTGTCTGAAGTTGGCTGGCCTGAGAGATCGGCCCCTATTAGAAACAGCTGCTAGGCTCTGTTCTTGTTTCTGGTTTTTTTTGCTGTTGTTTTCGTTTTTGTTTTTGAATCCAGTTAGCCACCAGGAGCTCTTTCTTAGTAAGTGTCTTCTTTCTCAGGGTCCACACATCTTTGCTTTCAAAGTCATTGTAGGTATATACCTTCAAACTTTTGTTTTTGTTTTTTTCACTGGATTTTAGCTTACACTTTAAAATACCTGTTTTTCACTACCAATTCACATTACCGCTAGAAAATGTGATTCTAAAGTATTACTTTTCTTTATTTAATATGTTTTTATAATTATTATTATAATTTAGAGAGAGACAGAAAACATGATCTGCTGCCTCCTGCACGCCCCCCCCACACACACACACACACACTGGGGATCAAGCCAGAAACCCATGCATGTGCCCCAACCAGGAATCTAACTGAGACCTCTCAGTCCATGGGACCACGCTCAATCCACGGAGCCACACCAGGTGGGCAAGTATTACTTTTCTTAAAGATAAAAGAATTTAATGAAAAGCATTAATTTTTAATACTTTCATATTATTAAACCATCACAACATTGAATATAAAATATGAAAATGTAAATTATTTGAACTGCCAATAATAAAAGTTTAGGCAAATTATAAAAACTATTCCCCAGTTAAAATTCAAGTTATTGAAATATTTCGACTTGAATAAAGTTCAAAATATCGACAAGAAAAAGTCTTTAAAAACATACTATTTGATATAATTCTTGTAAGAAAAAAATATGGAAAAATACTGGACGGAATTTTCACAAAAATATTTATAGTCACTATTATTAAGTGGATCTGCTTCTCCTTAATTGTAAAATAGGAATAATGAACTCGTTACCCCAATAATTCAATACAAATTTTTTAAATAAAATTAGAATGATACGTAAGGGCAGTAACAGTACTTAAGTTTTTAAAAATTAAAACAACTCTTATTAAGGGCTTAACTCCATGACGCGCACATAAAAAGCACTCCATGTATATTAGCTTTTCATGTCCAGTACCCAAACCTTGTCTAAGTATAATAAACACTGACTTTGTTTCAACCAGGAACCCCCTGCTCTAGAGAATTCCTATGAAGAAACTTCCTTTCTTCAAAACTGGATGAATCCTGTAACTTGTACGAGCAGCTCGTGTCTGTCTAGCCCCTCGGAGATACAAAGACGACCTGCACAGGGTCCCTGACGCGGCGAGGGGAGGCGCCAGCACTCGAGGTCCTCGGGCGGCAGGGAAGGGCTCCCCGGTGGTACCGGCGGCACCCTCAGCACTAGGCCGCCGCCAGGGGGCGCGCTCCGAAACCCGCACCCAGCGGCCAGGCGTCCCGGCCGGGTGCTCCAGCAAGGACTCAGGGCCGCGCCCGGAGCGAGGCTGCGGGCGGCGGCGGGAGGGGGCGCTGCGGGACCGGGCGGGCGCGGCGCGGAGGAAGTGTCGTCTTCGCCGCCGCCTGAGCCCCGCGGGCCGCGATGTCGTCCCGGCCGGGGCGCGGCGACCCGGGGGCCGGGGGCGCGAGGCGGGCGCGGGAGCCGCCCGAGCAGGAGCTGCAGCGGCACCGGGAGCAGAAGCGGCGGCGACACGACGCGCAGCAGCTGCAGCAGCTCAAGCACCTGGAGTCCTTGTGAGTCCCCGCCACCCGGGCTCCTGCGAGGAATGGGCGCCGCGTGGGCGCGTCAGGCGGGGTCCTCGGAGACCCGCGAGGGTGCAGGCGGCCCGGCTGCCGGTACCGATCCCGGGCGGCGCGCACTCGCCTTGCAGCCGCCCCTGCAGCCGCCCCTCGGCGGGAGGGAGGTCAGTGCGCGGCGCCCTGGGGCCGCCTGGGCCAGGAAGGAGCGCAGGCCCCGCCCCCAGGGTGTGGGGCGCTCCCGGGGTGGGGGCGTGGGGGGCGCTGAGCTGCGGCTGCCCACGTGCCGCGCTGGGAGTTCGGCTGAGAGCTCTGTCCCGCGCTCACTCTGGATTTGGGGACTAAATGCACGAGAAGTGCGCTTTGGTCCCTGCCCTTTCAGGGTGTTCAGGTCACAGGGCCCACTATGGACCGGATACAATCTTTTCATCTTCTGTTACGAAGGGAAGAGAAAACGTAGTCCTGTAAGGTTGGTGCGGAAAGAGAATAAACCCTGGTGAGGGACTTGTCCCTAACTACCGGGAAGGTGGTGTCAGGTAGCAGGGAGTGAAGACTTGCTCTCTAGTCCTGAGGACTTTTACCAGGATTAAGGGTGGACGCTACAAAGAGGACGATCCCTCCACCCTGTGCCCCATCCCATGCTCCGGTTCTGTCACCCCAGTGTTCCTGGGCTGCCAGGATAACAGAATGGGGGGAGGGGGCCGTGTATATGTGGCAGCTTCATCCCTGCCTTCCAGCCCCATAGGGGCCAGCTGCAGAAACAGTTGGACTGGAGTATACTTACTTGAGGACTCTTCCCAAAGAAATCCCACCCCAGCATTCAAAAATCCAAAGTGTATTTTTAAGTACTTGGCAAAATAAAGATTTCTTCCCCATGCCCACTTGGAAAGATAATTTTTCCTTCTCATCCAAATTTAGTCTTCATACAGCTCACAGCAACTTATTCCAATCTGAATGATCAAGTCGTAAGGTATCACAGATGGTACAAAGTAATGGGCCTCCAACAACCTTTCTTTATTTTCTGAGGATTAAGTACAAAATAATACAGACATTTCATCTGTGATATCGCAGAAGCCAACTACATAGTAAATACACTCCTATTCCCATTTCCAATTCATTTCTTGTATCCTCACCTGAGGATACATTTAATGATTTGTATCATTAAATGAGAGAAACATTGATCAGTTACCTCCTGGTTGCCTCTGGTACACACCCCAGTGGGGGATCGAACTTGAAACTTAGGAATGTGCCCTGACTGGGAATCAAATCTTCGACCTTTTGATGTACGGGATAACACTGCAACCAACTGAGCCAGGCCAAATCTGTTATTTTTAATAGTTAAATATTCCCTTAATATTTGAGAAATATATTTTTTTAATGTGCTACATAAACTAAGAAATTGTTCAGCCCTAGGAAAAAAACATGAACCACGTGCCTTTAAATTTGTGGAAACAGTTGGAAAATGTGGTTCAGTGGTAACAGCATCGGCCGTGGACCAATGAGTCGCAGGTTCAATTCCAGGTCAACAATAGTACCTCAGTTGCAATGGCAACCACTGGATGTGTCCCTCTCACATCAGTGTTTCTCTCTCTGTCTCCCTTCCTCTCTCTGCCTCCCACTCTATCTGAACAAAACTGGGAAAATATCCTCGGGTGAGGATTAAAAGAAAAAAGAAAAAAACAGTTGAAAAATGCACTTTTTAGGGAAGGCCATTGCTAATAATAATAGATTTCAAAATAATGCAGTTCCATCACGTTGCTTTTCCATCTAGGAAAAAACATTTACATACATACTTACATAAGGAGTTTGGATCTTAGCTTGTTTGGCCATATGTTATTTGTACAGCTCCTATGGCAAAAAGAAAGTACTTTTGTTGTCGACTAAAAATATCAGCTAGGTGTTTCGTCACCAAAAAGGATTTACATGGCATCCACGTGCGCACTCTGGCCTGCGTGCCAGGAGCAGGGGTCTTTACATACGAGAAGATGGAATTAAGGGAAAGGGAAGTTAGAACCGCAGAGCTTTATTATAAACATAGTTCTCTCTGTCGGTTCTCACCCATAGTGTCTTTGTAATTTGGAAGAGTGCCAGAGTTTCCATAAACCCTGGCTCCTCCCATAGACCCGCCCCACTTATTCCGTTTGCTTCAAGTTTTCCTTAGACTTTATCATTGGGTTACCGGATATTTACACAGACTTGACCACTTCCCTTCCAAACTCCCTTGCATATAGCACGGCATTGTTTCTGATGAGTGGCTGCTGGTGAACTGTGTCACCTTCCCAACTTGTGCAAACTGTTGTTGTGAAGGAAAGTCTGGGCCTAAGACATGCCACAGCTTTCCCCTGGAAAAAGTATTAGAAATAGCATACATAAGAAGCTAGTTCTGCCCTGGCAGGTTTGGCTTAGCAGTCAGAGCATTAGCTGGAGGACCCAAGACTGGCGGGTTCGATTCCAGCCAAGGGCGCGTACTTTGGTTATGATTCGTCCTCAGCCCTGGTCAGGGTCCTGTGGGAGGCAGCCAATCAATGTGTCTCTCTCACATCAATGCCCCCCTCCCCCCCCACCCCATCTGAAGATATTTGAAAAAATATCCTCAGGTGCTGATTTTTAAAAAAAGCTAGTTCTGCGTATACCCAGTTGTTTATTACCTAATCTTTAGGGAATAATTCCTCCTCTGTCCCATCAGAAAAGCTCTAGATCATTGATGGTGAGAACAAGCTCAGCGAAGCCTCCATCACAATCCTTATTTGGGAAGGTCTATCTAGAGGAAGCCAAAGGGAATTTTTTGTTGTTTTTTTTTATCCTCACCCGAGGACACCTTTCCATTTTTTGTTCAGATAGAGTGGGAGGGAGAGAGAGGAAGAGAGAGAGAAACATCGATGCTAAAGGGACACATCGAGTGGCTGCATCCCGCATGACCCAACCAGGGCCAGAGACAAACCGCAACCAAGGTATGTGCCCTTAGTGGGAACCAAACCCGGGTTTCCTTGGACAGCAGGCCAATGCTCTAACCGCCGAGCCAAACCAGCCAGGGCCAAAGGGAAGTTTTTCTTGCCGTAGTTTTTCATGGCATTTCTCATCCATCACCCACTGTAAAGGAAAAAACACTCCTGTGTTCCTTCTCTACACTCAAACTACACTTACAACACTCTTCTGTACTCCGGCTGTGTGGGATTTTCCAACATCACCAAGCAGTTGTCCTATTCTCAGGGGACACCCAGTAGCTGTCTTACAAATATATCTTAATTCTGACACTGTCTGTTACCAGACACCCCCTGAGTCGGAAGTGGAGGGCTGCCCCTCCTCAGCTCTTGTCAGCTTGGGAGAAGGATTCAGATGAGTGAGAGCAGTGTTGAAGCAAAGCAAGTGAATTTATTAAGAATACACTTGCCATAAAGCACAAATGGGCAGCTCAGCTAGTCTGAGCGCCCTGCCTGGTGAAGGGGTTCAAGGATTTTATACTTTTCCTCCCTATAGGTTTCTTTTTTTTTTTTTTTTTTAATAGAGCGGGAGGGAGAGAGAGAGAGAAACATCGATGTGAGAGAGACATATCAAGTGGTTGCCACCCACACGACCCCAACAGGGGCTGGGGACAAACTGCAACTGAGGTACGTGCCCCCAGCAGGAATCAAACCCGAGACTCTCCAGTCCACAGGCCAACACTCCAACAGCTGAGCCAAATCAGCCAGCACCCCCCCCCCTCGACCCCCCCATAGGTTTCAAAGCTCCCCTGCTGGATATCTTGGATGGCAGAGTAGGTTTCAAAGTACCCTTCTACATTGTTGTGGGTTATCTCAGAACATTTGTACATATATCTGGTGATCTTGTTTGGCAAGTCCTAAGACAGCTGACTTCTTTGTTTAGTGGGTGAGATAAACTCCCCTTTTTTCCTCCTTCCTTTCTTTCCTGCCCTAGCAGTTATCTTAGTTATTTTTCCTGCAAATATACCCCAAGTGATACCATCCAAATGAATTTGGGGTTTTGTTGTTTGTCCCCCAGACTTTATCTGTCCTTGGGTTTTGCTAGCACACATTGCATTAATTGGGTCTTTGTTCTCTATTATCCAAGGCCAGGGTGATTTAAGTTATGTGTTCTCTGGTTAGGGAAGACAGGTATAAATCGTTTGCTCTTAAGTGTCCTTGGCTGGGGAAGATAGGGGCTTGTGATTCAAAGGCTGCCTGCAAGCTGCCTGAACTGTTTGGCCTTGTTTAATTTCCTTATCTCAATTTCTCCATTCCACTTGCCCAGGGACTTTCTTAGCTTTTTACCCTGCCATATGTCTACCTGGAGATAATGTCACAACCCATAAATGAAGGGATCGGCCTCACAAGACTGCCCCAGTTACACACACTTTAGGTGCCAATCCCAAATCCAGGTTGTCACCTGTGTTTCTGACTAACCAGCTATAACTGGGAGGTTCCCACAACCCCCTCCTCCATTTGGTTACTTTGCTAAAATGGCCAAAAGAACTCAAGAAAACATTTCACTCACTAGATTACTGGTTCATTATAAAAGGATATAACTCAGAGATGGCCAGATGGAAAAGATAGCTAGGGCGAGGTCAGGGCGAGGTCTGGGCGAGGGGCATGGAGCTTCCTTCCATGCGTTCTCGGGGGTGCCACACCTCCACATGTTCACCAACCCTGAAGATCTCTGAACCCCATCCTTTGGAATTTTATAGAGGCTTCATTACATAGGCATGATTGATTAATCTTTGGCATTGGTGACTAATTCAGCCTCCCTAGAGGTGGGACTAAAGGCCCAACCCTCTAATCACCTGGTAGGTTGTCCTGGCAAACAGCCCACATCCTCAGGGGCTTCCCAAAAGTCACCTCATTAATATAAACTCAGTTACCTTGAGACTTTTTTCACCTATATAGCTATGGGTCCCTTTCAGGAATTGGGACCAAAACTCAGTGTTATGGCTCTTATATAATAAATTATAGGCCCTGGCCACATAGCTCAGTTGGTTAGAGTATTGTCCTGATATGCCAAGGTTGCAGATTTGATCCCCATTCAGGGAACATACAATAATCAACCAATGAATTGCATAAATAAGTGGAACAAATCTCTCTCTCTCTCCTTCCCTCCGTCTCTCCCTTCCTCTCTCTAAAAATCAATAAATGAAACATTAAACAAAAAAGAAATGTACTATGTGCCAGAAGCAGTGGATGAAGACCACATATATATTTCTTATAAGTCACAGTATCCCATCGTCAAAAGTGGTTTCCCGCCCTGGCTGGTTTGGCTCAGAGGTTAGAGTGTCGGCCTGCAGTCCAGAGAGACCCAGGTTCCGTTCCCGCCAAGGGCACGTACCTCGGTTGCAGTTTGTCCCCGGCCCTGGTTGGGTTGTGCGGGTGGCAACCACTCGATGTGTCCCTTTCACGTCGATGTTTCTGCCCCCCCCCCCCACTCTATCTGAACAACAACAAAAAAAAAAAAAGTGGTTTCCTTTCATATCTTAGAGGACAGAAGCATTTCACTTTTCCCTTACTCAGTTTTGCTAACCACACACCCCATACTCCGTTTCTTTTTAAAATTGATTTTAAAGAGACAGGGGAAGGGAAAGGTAGGTAGGTAGGTAGGTAGGTAGGTAGATAGATAGATAGATAGACAGACAGACACACACACACACATATTTGTTGTTCCACTTATTTAGGCATTCACTGGTTGATTATTGAATGTTCCTTAGCCGGTGATTGAACCTGTAACCGTGGTGTATCTGAATGATGCTCTAACCAACTGAGCTACCTAGCCAGGGCTCCTCTGTTTTGAATGGTCTTTAAAGATGGTACATAAGAAAATGCTCAGAATGAAGAAAACACTAAATCATTAAGTTACAAGGGTTTTTGTTGTTTTTTATGTTTTTGTTGGGTTTTTTAGAGAGAGAGGAAGGGAGAGAGAGAGAAACATCAATGTGAGAGAGAAACATTGATCAGCTGCCTCCTGCACGCCCTCTCCTGGGGATCAAGCCTGAAACGCCGGGCATGTTCCCTGACTAGAAATCCAATCGGGACCTCTCAGTCTCTGGGATGACGCTTAATCCACTGAGCCACACCGGCCTGGCAGTTACAAAGGTTTTGGGAGCTACCCTATTCAACCTAAGTGGAAGTCATGCTAGGTAAACAACCTGACAATGATAACGACGGTTTGGAACCATAATTAACTCACGGGTCTTCTAACCTCACATTTTCCCTGTCGTCTCTTGCTTTCCCTTCTTCCAAAAATAAAATAAAATCATTGTGCTAAGCACCAAGGGAGTTACAGTTTTAGTGCATTTAAGTTCTACATCTCAGCAGGACCCAGTAGAGCATTGGTTTATTTGTATGTGATCTCTTGAGTGTTGGGCAGATTTGATTAACTGTTTAGATACAACATAGTTTTAGGTTTTTATTAAAAATATCCTTTTAAGCCCTGGCCAGTTTGGCTCAGCAGTTAGAGAGTCAGCCCACGGACCAGAGATTCCCAGGTTGGGTTCCCGCTAAGGGCACGTACCTCAGTTGCAATTTGCACCCGGCCCCAGTTGGGGTCGTGTGGGTGGCAACCACTCAGTGTGTCTCTCACGTGGATATTTCTCTCTCTCTCTCTTCCTCTCTCCCTCCTACTCTATCTGAAGATAAATGCAAAAATGTCCTTGGGTGAGGATAAAAAAATATATATATCCTTTTTATTTTAGCCTACAGTTGCTTTTTGCTCACTAAAATGTGATATATTATTGTCGACACGGTTGATGATGGGTTTTTGTGTTTTTTCCCTTTCTAGTTATGAAAAACCTCCTCCTGGGCTCATCAAGGTCAGTGTGCAGTGCGTCCTCTCGGCTGTTCTCCTAGACACATCTGTGCTCACACTCGGCAACTTGTGGGAACAGCTCACGCCGTGTTGAACCTCCTTGGTGATCACCCTCTTCTTCCCGCGGGTGCCAGGCAGAAATGTCAGCAGCCTGTGTCTGTCCCCCGGGAAACCGAGGCGGGCCCACGCGTGCTCCTCAGCCCTCGCTCCCTTCTCTGCACCCCGGCCAGTGTCAGAGTCTCGGGGGGAGGGAGACGTAGAGCAGTGGTTAAAGGCCGCTCACTTTCCATTTAAAAAAGACATTTTAAAAACTTTTTATTATAAATATTCATGGAAAATTGAAAAAAAAATCAAAAGGATTAACAAAAAGAATCTTAATTGTGTAATGCAGTTATTTGGTGGTGAAAATATATTTCATAAATACAGCACGTGGCCTTCAAGGTATACTAATCCATTTTAACTTAACGTGGCATTGTTATTATTCCAGAAAATGTTACTTATTTAACCCTATACTTAGCCTCCTTCCACACAGCTTTTAAGTTACCAGAAAACTGTTGTAATCTTAGAATCAGAAACTGGCCCTGGCCGGTTTGGCTCAGCAGTTGGAGTGTCGGCCTGCGGTCCAGAGAGACCCGGGTTCGGTTCCCGCCAAGGGCATGTACCTCGGTTGCAGTTTGTCCCCGGCCCTGGTTGGTCGTGCGCGTGGCAGCCACTCGATGTGTCCCTTTCACGTCGATGTTTCTCTCTCTCTCTCTTCCTCTCTCTCCCTCCCGCTCTATCTGAACAAAAAATGGAAAAATGTCCTCGGGTGAGGATAAAAAAAAAAAGAATCAGAAACTGGAGCTCACAAATCATTTCTTTGTGAACAACACTAGAAACATTTCTCTAAAGACAGCTACTTTGTTTTTGCGATCCAGTTGTGCTGGTCCGTTTATTTCCATGTTTCCGTCTGGTCTCACTTATCCCTCCGGTTCTGCAGAGGGGAACTCATGAGGCCTTGCCCCCCCCCCCCCCCCCCCGAGAGCCAGGCGGCCGAGTTCTGAGGCAGGTGGAGAGAACGCGGTGCTTTCCTGCCGCGGTGTTTACACGCTGTTCCCCTTTCTAGGAAGATGAGACTAAGCCGGAAGACTGTATACCAGATGTACCAGGCAACGAACATGCCAGGGAGTTTCTGGCCCACGCGCCAACGAGAGGACTCTGGATGCCCCTGGGGAAGGAGGTCAAAGTGATGCAGTGTGAGTGCAAGTGCGTCAGGCGCCTGACCACGTCCGGTCACACACCATCCGGTCACACAGGGTCACAGGCGGGCTCCTCTCCCGCACTGGGCTCGTCCCCGGCACAGGGAGGCTGGGGGCGCGGCCCGATCTGTGCTGCGTAGATGCGGAAACCAGCTTGCACACGTCAGGACGTGGTCCCGGGTTCGAGGTGGAGCAGAGGTGTGACTCCAGGGCTTCTGCCTCCGAGTGCAGTGGCCTTTCCACAGGACAGTGGCCGCCTGGGGAGTACAGTCTTGGTGATATTCCTGCAACAGAAAGGACCTCCCATGGTGGAAATGCCCTGGAGGACGGGATGCGTTGGAGGCAGGTCCCTTTGGTCTTGCCTGGGTCAGTCACCCTCCATCAGCGGTGGGAGGTTTTGTCCATGTAGCCGAGAGGAGCTGCAGGCCACAGAGGGTGGTCTGGGTCCTGTAGAACTCTGCGTAGCCCCCCGCCAGGGCAGCAGCACCTTCATTTAGCACAAGACGGCATTTGAGTCCTGACTGGTTTTGCTCGGTGGTTAGAGCGTTGGCCTGCAGACTGAAGGGTCACAGGTTCAATTTCCAGTCAAGGGCACGAACTTGGGTTGCAAGTTCAATCCCGGGCCCTAGTTAGGGTCATGTGTGAGGCAACCAATTGATGTGTCTCTTTCACATCCATATTTCTTTCTCTGTATCACCCTCCCTTTCTTCTCTATCTGGGAAAAAAAAAATCAATGGAAAAATATCCTTCGGTTTGGAGTCACACAAAAAAAAATGTTGCCCTGGCCCTGGCTGGTTTGGCTCAGCAGTTAGAGTGTCGGCCTGCGGTCCAGAGAGACCCGGGTTCAGTTCCCGCTAAGGGCATGTACCTTGGTTGCAGTCTGTCCCTGGCCCTGGTTGGTCATGCAGGTGGCAGCCACTCAATGTGTCCCTTTCACGTCGATGTTTCTCTCTCTCTCTCTCTTTTCCTCTCTCTCCGTCCCACTCTATCTGAACAAAAAATGGAGAAATGTCCTCAGGTGAGGATAAAAAAAAAAGTTGCCCTGACTGGTTTGGTTCAGCGGTTAGAGCGTCGGCACACAGATCAGTCGCGGGTTTGACTCCAGTCAAGGGCACGTACCTCGATTGCAGTTCATCCCCGGCCCTGGTCGGGATCATGCAGGAGGCAGCCAATCGATGTGTCTCTGTCAAATCAATATTTCTCTCTCTCTCTCTCTCTCTCTTGCTATATCTGAAGGTATATGAAAAAATATCCTCGGTGAGGATTTTTTTAAAAAGATGGCTTTTGAAGAAAGGGTACTGCAGCCTTTTCAAGACCTTTTTTTGGACAAAGACTCTTCATGCACATAATTAAAATAGCTTTTTCCCGCTCCATTTCCCCATGCCTCTCACCATAAAGGTAACCAACTAAACCTTTTAAGGTTTTTTTTTTTAAGTTTAGCTCCACATATCTAAATAACATGATTATACAGGTTTACTATTGTAATACAAATTAATAATATAAGAATAAACTGCCCAGCCGGTGTAGCTCAGTGGTTGAGCCTCGACCCACGCACCAAGTGGTAGCCAGTTCGATTCCTGGTCAGGGCACATGCCCAGGTTGTAGGCCAAGTCCCCAGCAGGGGGCATGCAGGAGGTGGCCAGTTGATGTTCTCTCTCATCAGTGTTTCTATCTCTCTCTCCCTCTCCCTTCCTGTCTGTCTAAGATCAATAAAGAAAATAAATAAATAAAAAAGCCGAGTTCACTTTTGAGTAGAGATTGGTAACTGGATCTCACTGTAGGATGATGTGTCTGGCCTGCTTAACAGATACCAGAATATTTACTTTGTTGTTGTAAACAGTAAACGCTGAGATCAGTATGTCCAAGTCTTTCCCCATAGGTTGATTAGTGTTTCACAGAAGAGTTGCTTCCCGCCAAAGGCGAAGGTTCTTGCATTCTGGGAACTGACTGGGGAACAAGGCTGGGAGGTGTCATCATCCAATCTTCAGTCATCCGCATCCTTTCCTGTGTTCAGTGTGGCACCTGGTCTTCCAGTGGGACAGGGACCCTCCTTTCACCTCCTCCAGAGAATGAACCTCCTGTTCAGGGCTGGGGAGAGAGGCGTGTGGTCTTCCAGCCAATGCCCCTGTTCCAGCCACCCCTTCGCCTCCGCTGCGAGGAGCACGCTGCTGTTCCCGAGCTGCTGGGGCTCCACCAGGTGAACTTGAGTTGGTGCTCAGTTCTCTCTTCTGCCGGCTTAGAATTCAGTTTTCTGGGGTCTGCTATCCATTTTGCACACTCTTACCTACATTATGACTTCCAATATTTTTTTTACTGTTGTCTCCTTTCCTATTTTCCCTGTCCTTGTGGTTCATGCCAATTTTTTTTTTTAATCCTCACCCAAGGACATTTTTCCATTTTTTGTTCAGATAGAGTGGGAAGGAGAGAGAGGAAGAAAGAGAGAGAGAGAAAGAGGTAAACGACATGAAAGGTACATATCGAGTGGCTGCCACCCGCACGACCAACCAGGGCCAGGGACAAACTGCAACTGAGATATGTGCCCTTAGCAGGAACCGAACCCGGATCTCTCTGGACTGCAGGCCGACACTCTAACCGCTGAGCCAAACGGGCCAGGGAGGTTCATGCCTTTTTTAAAGTATTCTCTCTGTTGTTTTTATGGGCTGTCAAGAAGGGGATGAAAATAAATGATTGTTTTAATCTTTCATCTTTACCCATAAGTCTGTTGCGCTTTTTTTCTTCTTAAGGTTAAAAATCAGCCCTGGCCGGTTTGGCTCAGCGGTTGGAGCGTCGGCCTGCGGTCCAGAGAGACCCGGGTTCGGTTCCCGCTAAGGGCACGTACCTCGGTTGCAGTTTGTCCCCGGCCCTGGTTGGTCGTGCGGGTGGCAGCCACTCGATGTGTCCCTTCACATCGATGTTTCTCTCTCTCTCTCTTCCTCTCTCTCCCTCCCGCTCTGTCTGAACAGAAAATGGAAAAATGTCCTCGGGTGAGGATAAAAAAAAAAAAAAAAAATCAAAACAGTGGGCAGATAAGCCCTGGCCATGGTGGCTCAGTTTGTTAAGCATCATCCCATCCCATGCACCGAAAGGTCACTGGTTTGATTCCCGGTCGGCACATGCCCAGGTTGTGGGCTCGATCCCCAGTAGGGGGCGTGCAGGAGGCAGATGATTGATGTTTCACTATCATAACAATGTTTCTCTCCCACTCCCTTCCTCCCCCTCTAAAAATCAATTTAAAAAAATCTTTTTTTAAAAAATAGTGGGGAGGTTAGGTCTGAGGCAGGTCAGCAGCGATCAGGAGTCCCTGAACTTCAGTGTTCCTAATGGTTTCCTACTACCAACTCAGAAATATTTTCAGTAGCAGCCAGCATGGAGCAAAACCGACTGATCTTAGCTACAATCCCTTCCTGGCTCCTTGGTTAGAATCGATGCCTCTGCCGTTTGCTAGGGCTGCTGTACCCAGGTACCACAAATGGGTGACTTGAACAAGAGAAATTATTGTGTGATGGTTCTGGAGGCTGAAATTCTGAAATCTAGGTGTCAGCAGCGGTTCCTTCTGAGGGCCTCTCTAAAGACCCTGCCTCTCCATCAGGTCACATTCTGAAGTAGCAGGGGTAAGGACAGTGCAACATAACGGGAGAGGAGGGAGTGAGATGGATGACACAGTTCAACCCATAACACAGTTTAAGAAAAGAAAAGCACACTTTGCTTTCTGCATAGGATTGCTTAGTAAGTATCTGGTTCGTTTCTAAACCTCCAAGATTGAAGGACTCTTAAGGATGCAGTTAGTTTCCCTCTATTTTCTGGGATCTCACTTCTCTCTTCCACTGATTACTTTTGCTTTTAAAATTGGAATCTAATGAAGAATAACTTTAATATGACCTACTGATGCTTTATCTTGATTAAGTAAAAATACGTTATCTTACAGAAATATATCCCCTTTTTCTTTGTTTTTAGGTTGGCGCTGTAAACGGTATGGTCACCGAACGGGCGACAAAGAATGCCCTTTCTTTATCAAAGGCAACCAAAAGTTAGAGCAGTTCAGAGTAGTAAGTAAAACCCCAGAGTGTCAATTTTTGTTTACCTAAGATGGTGAATATCCATGAATCAGGCAGGAATGGGTGAACTGGAGGTTCTCATAAAATATATTTCCAGAGACCTTTTGGCCAAAGTGTCTCGTGTTAACTACATACATCTCTGTTAAATCGAGTTTGTGTGACAGATTAGCTACATTAACAAAAAACCAACTTCTTATTTAAAGTGTTCTTTGCTTATACTTTGGGAACACTGGTTGTTTTTTCTGAAGCAGACATTGTTATCCACTTTTTACTTATTATATTTTTAAAATCTTGTTTCATGACAAAAATTAGGAATCTCGTTTCCCAGTTCTTGACTAGAGATTAGATATCTTTCTGTTATAAACTAGAAATGTGCGTAAGTGACACAACCTCATTACATGAGAGTAAACGAGGTGTATCATTTCCTCACTTTCTTTTAACAGTCACCTCCCAGGCTGTTAATCACCTGCAGTGACCGCTAGTCCACTGTCCACTAACGGTTTCGGTCAGTTCCGCTACGCTCTTATCGGGGATATTGGGATTACCAGCATATATCACACTGAGGTCCACATTCTCCAGGGATCTTAAGACATTGAAAATATTGTGCTTTCATTTTAATAATTTGAAGAAGATATTCTGCATAAATCATTGATAGCTCAAATGTCGATTTTTGGTGATAAATCTCAAAAACTTAAACATATTCAATATTTTTGAAACTCAGAAACCTAAATTCTAAGAAATGATCCTAAGGATATAACAAAACATCAACATACACAATTTTTTATGAATGTAGAAGGATAACTTTCAGAATTATTTATATGGTTAAAAAATAGAGACTAAGACCTGGCCGGTTTGGCGCAGCGTTAGAGCATTGGCCTGATGAGTCCCTGGTCAGAGTCGTGCGGGAGGCAACCAGTCCATGTGTCCCTCTCCCTTTAAAAAAAAAATAGAGACTAAAGGAAAATAGGCAACATCTTCAATGGCCAACATACCAACATAACTCACTATAAGCTAGAAACCATACAGCTTTAAAGAATTACGTTTTAGACAGAGGTATCATGTCATGGGAAGATGCTCATGAAAACATAAATGAAAAAGAGATTAGAGAGTTATATACAATATGATTGTAAATTTTTGTAAACTGGATAGTGATTGGAGGAACCACATTAATATGTTAGATACCCAGGTGGAAAGATAATAGATATTTTTAACTTTATCTCCTTATTTAATATGTAAAAATTTTACAAAAATATCTTTTCAAAGATAATTCACATGCCATAAAATTCACTCTATGTGTATTCATATTTTTAAGTACTTTAAGTGATTTTAAATTATCCAAATATTATAGGAATATGTTTGCCTTCCTTTAACAAAATGAAAACAGTGAGGTATTCCAAAATGATTTTTCAAGTCCAATCTTGCCTGTCCCCAAAGGGGAATTAACATAAGCAGCTGGATGAGTATACTTCCAAACTTTTTGGCACATGTTTTTTTGTACCTGTAAGTGAATCATTCTTACATATCATTTTCCAAATCACTTGTTTTGCTTAATATCTTTGTCATCTATCCACATAGAACAAAGAGAAGTACCTCAGTATTTCTAACTTGAATATTCGTGTTTATTAATGATTCTGCATGGTTTATTTTTTTATAGAGGATACTGAAATTATAATCTTGTATAATTTAAAAATCTTTCTAATAGCCTCTGTTACATTTTAAGTAATGGTGACCCTCAGGAAGGATTAGAACATATAGAATATAAAATTACACCAAACAAGGGAGGAGAAAAAAACTCATTTCAGTGAAACAGGGATTTAATTTTAATTTAACTAACAATCTATTAAGCTTAACCAAACCTTAACCTTCTCTGACCCTCCAGGCACATGAAGATCCCATGTATGACATCATACGAGAGAATAAAAGACATGAAAAGGATATAAGGTGAGGTTGTCCTGATGATAATAATGCCCTCTTAAAGTTCTAACTTACAGCCCTGGCCGGTTCGGCCCAGCGGTTAGAGCATCGGCCTGCGGGCCAGAGGGACCCAGGGTCGGTTCCCGCTAAAGGCACGTACCTCAGTTGCAGTTTGTCCCCGGCCCTGGTTGGTCGTGCGGGCCACTCGATGTGTCCCTTTCACGTCGATGTTTCTCTTTCTCTCTCTGTTCCTCTCTGTCCCTCCCACTCTACCTGAGCAGGGAATGGAAGTGGGTGAGGATTAAAAAAACTAAGTTATATTAAGTTGGAAACAACCATTCCATCACTCGAGAAGCACTTTAATAAATATGGTGCTTCAGAAAAGGCCAGTGTGCGGGACTGAGCAGGTCCCCCTGTCCCCCCCGTGCGCGCCCCCCCTCCCCCCCCCTCCCCCGGGTTCACCGAGAGCAGTGGGTGTGGCCCAGCCTGCTCACACCACCCTGGTTGATGTTGGCAGCCCACGCAGTGGTGTCTGGTTCTACTGTATGATTGATTCTCTTTTATATGATTTAGTTTATCTTCTCCAATGTCTTTAGGGATCTGGGCTATTGTTAAAAATTATTCTTAGAGCCCTGGCTAGTGTGGCTCAGTGGATTGAGCATCATCCTATGGACTGAGAGGTCCGGGTTCGATTCCCAGTCAGGGCGCATGCCCAGGTTGTGGGCTCAATCCCACAATCTTCTTTTTTCAAATTGGTGGTCTTGAGTTATATTGTTGAAGAGGTAGATTACCTAGTATGAACTTGAGCAGTGAGGGGATGACTTAGGAAAATAAGTATCTGTTAGAAGTTATAATAATAGGAACTGTAGACACATTCGGATATATTTTTTTAATTGATTTTTTAGAGAGAGAGGGAGAGGGACATAGCAACCTCAACGTGAAAGGGAAACATCAATCGGCTGCCTCCTGCACCCCCCTCCCCATTAGGGATTAAGCCTACAGCCTGGGCATGTGCCCTGACCAGGAATCGAACCAGGACCTCTCAGTGCATAGGACGATGCTCAATCCACTGAGCCACACCAGCCAGTCACATTCGGATATATCTAGGACAATGCAGAATGATTGTACACTGGTTTCAATCCTGTAAAGTAGGCATGGGTGTGTACAAGAATGGGAAAAAACATGAAAAAATAAAAATAGGTACTATGCTTAATGAGGTGGTTATTTGACTTTTTTACCCTCACTACTAAGCTTCTATCTAAAACAATGTTTTAAAGCTAAGTGATGGTGTGTGGCTCTGTGCCCGATCTTATCTGTTCAGGATACAACAGTTAAAGCAGCTACTGGAGGATTCCACCTCCGACGACGACGGGAGCAGCTCCAGTGCCTCAGAATGTAAGGAGAGACACAAGAAAAGGAAGAAGAAAGAAAAGCATAAGAAAAAGAAGAAAGAGAAGAAAAAGAAGAAGAAACGAAAGCATAAGTCTTCCAAATCAAACGAGAGCTCGGACTCGGACTGACAGGAGCTCGGCTTGGTCAGTGTTCCCATCTCAACTCAAACACTGTGGACAACGAGCAGAGGACTGTGGGATCGGAGAGGACCTGAGAGGCCACAGCAAGGAGGAGATCTGCTGTCACAGGTGTGACTTCTCACCTGCCTTCCAGTGACGGTGTGACCACCAGAGAGGGGTGTGTCTTCCCAGGTGCCAGCTCTGGACAGCGGCCGACGTCCAGCAGGAGAGCTCTTCCCGGTGTCCTGCTGCTGCTGCTCACTGGGGTTGCGATGCCCTAGCAATGCCGGGGTGGCCGGACTAAGGGAGCTCCGAGGACACTCCTCCAGGTGCTGCCACCTACACAGCGAGGCTGCTTCATCCCAGACTTCAGGTTGACTTCTCTGTTGTTGAAGATAATAAAAGCTCATTATTTATTTTTCTTTCTCTTTTAATGTCTTTATTAATTTTTTATTTTTTATTTTTTTTTTTTTTTTTTTTTTATCCTCACCCGAGGACATTTTTCCATTTTTTGTTCAGATAGAGCGGGAGGGAGAGAGAGGAAGAGAGAGAGAGAGAGAGAGAAACATCGATGTGAAGGGACACATCGAGTGGCTGCCACCCACACGACCAACCAGGGCCGGGGACAAACTGCAACCGAGGTACGTGCCCTTAGCGGGAACCGAACCCGGGTCTCTCTGTACCGCAGGCCGACGCTCTAACCGCTGAGCCAAACCGGCCAGGGCTAATGTCTTTATTAATTTTTTAGAGAGAGAGTAAGAGATGCCCTGGCCAGTGCAGCTCAGTGGTTGAGCGTCGACCCATGCACCAAGAGGTCACTGGTTCGATTTCTGGCCAGGGCACATGCCCAGGTTGTGGACCAAATCCCCAGTGTGTGGGCCTGCAGGAGGCAACCAACTGATGTTCTCTCTCATCGATGTTTCTTTTTGTTGTTGTTGTTCAGATAGAGTAGGAGGGAGAGAGAGGAACAGAGAGAGAGAGAGAGAAACATCAATGTGAAAGGAACACATCGAGTGGCTGCCACCCGCCCAACCGACCGGGCCGGGGACAAACTGCAACCGAGGTACATGCCCTTAGCGGGAACCGAACCCGGGTCTCTCAGGACCGCAGGCCGACGCTCTAACCGCTGAGCCAAACCAGCCACTGCTCATCGATGTTTCTATCTCTCTCTCCCTCTCCTCCTCTCTTTCTCTCTCTCTAAAAATTAATTTTAAAATAATTTTTTAAAAAGAGAGAGGAGGCTTATTCCGAAGATGCTGTCACAGGGGTATTTGGAATCAGACGCCAGCCGTCTAATAAACAGCTCTGATTTGGGAAAAAAGAGAGAGGAAGGGAGAGAGAGAGAGAGACATTGCTGTGAGAGAGAAACATTGATTGGCTACCTCCTTCACATCTCCTCTGGTGATCAGACTCGTAACCCAGGCACGTGCCCTGACGGAGAATCGAACCGGGACCTCTCGGTCCATGGGACAACACTCAGTCCACTGAGTCATACCAGCCGGGCCGTTAATGTATTTTTCAAATGTATTTTTTAAATTTCTGAATAACACTTACATGTGTTCCAAATTTAAAAGGTATATAAGGTTTATTTATGAAAACTCTTTCTTCTTCCTCTCTCCCCCGGCTTCCCAATTCCGTTGCCCAATGACTACCAATTTTATCAGTTTCTTGTGAAGTCTTCCAAATATATTTTATATATCATAAGCAAATATAGGGTTATTTTTTACACAAATGTTATAGACATTCACCTGCATGTTGTTGTTTTAACTTAACAGTATGAAACTAATTATTTTAGTGTCAAGTACATTTGGTATTGCTGCACCAAAAGTTGTGTGTTTATAATCACCTGAGATGATTTGTTGTTTGAGAAGAAGGGGCTCCTATCACAATGAAAAATCTGGCCTGGCTACATCATTTTTAACTTGATTGGATCTTACTGCCCAAACCCCAACACTTTCCCAGTGTAATTGACTCAGAAAATTGTTAAGAATATAAGGGAACTGCCCTGGCCGGTGTGCCTCGTTGGTTGAGTGTCTTCCCATGAACCATGAGGTTGCCAGTTCAGTTCCCCGTCAGGGCACATGCCTGGGCTGTGGGCCTCGTCCACAGTAGGGACATGCAGGAGACATGTTTCTCTCTCATCCATGTTCCTCTCTCTCTCTCTCCCCCCCCCCTCCCCTGCTCTCTCTCTAAAACCAATTTAAATATTTTAAGTTTTTTATAAAGAAAGAATAAAAGGGAATTACTGTAGAGTCAGCTACACACACCCCAAAATACACCCCTCATGTCCTTCCTCTTCCTGGTTAACCACAGCCCACCCGGGCCCCACAGAAGCAGCTCAGCTGTCAGGGTAGTGCCTGCAGCTATGGGCAAGTCCATCTTGTCTTTGCTGAGCTACAGTGGAGCTCAATTTTGCTCACAGGTCAAGTGTCCCTCCCTGTCCAGCAGCATCTGTTGCTGTTATCAGGGTATCAGGAACTCTCTACTCCCATTTCTGATGTCTTTCCCCAGGTGTTAGACCTCCCCCCCTTTAAAGAGCAGCCAATCCAAGCACAGAATGTACTCATCCCAGTTGCTAATCAATAAATGCTCCTGGTCTTGGCCTTCAAATAAGACTGCAATTCTAGGAAACCTGAGGTCACTTAATTCAGGCACGATTTACACTTATCCTTGACAATCTAGCTCAGCATGCAGCTCGTGGGCCATTTGTCCACCCCTGTGTGTCCCAGTGTTTCCTACCCTGTTCCAGCCTCTTCTGTCCTGGAATGCCATTCATGATCAAAGTATTCTTTTTTTTTTTTTTTTTTTAAGATTGCTAAATATGCCCTGGCCAGTTTGGCTCAGCGGTTAGAGCGTCGGCCTGCGGTCCGGAGAGACCCGGGTTCGGTTCCCGCTAAGGGCACGTACTTCGGTTGCAGTTTGTCGTGCGGGTGGCAGCCACTCGATGTGTCCCTTCACATTGATGTTTCTCTCTCTCTCTCCCTCCCACTCTATCTGTACAAAAAATGAAAAAAATATCCTCGGGTGAGGATAAAAAAAAAAAAAGATTGCTAAATATTATTTCTCTTTGATCTCTTTTTTGATAAAGGTATTTTTAGGAGACAAGAATTTTTTCAGTTTTATCTAACTTTTACATTTCTTGTTTTCTTCTGTTTACAAAGATGATACATATTCATTGTTTTAAAAATTTAAACATTACAGAAATATATATTGTAGAAAGTATATCCCCCACAATCTTTTTTTTTTTTTATCCTCACCCGAGGACATTTTTACATCTTTTGTTCAGGTAGAGTGGGAGGGAGAGAGAAGAACAGAGAGAGACAGAGAAACATCGATGTGAAAGGAACACATCGAGTGGCTGCCACCCGCACAACCAACCAGGACCGGGGACAAACCGCAACCGAGGTACGCGCCCTTAGCGGAAACCGAACCCGGGTCTCTCAGGACCGCAGGCCGACGCTCTAACCGCTGAACCAAACCGGCCAGGGCATCCCCCACAATCTTTGAAGAGAGTAAAATTCCTCCATATTTTTACCTCCATACTTATATGAACAATATAGGTTATATTTCTCCACATACTTTCTATGCATATACTGTTTTTTTAAATCCTCAGCTGAGGATATTTTTCCACTTTTTATTTTTATCTTTATTGTTGAATGTATTACAGATGTTCTTCATTTTCCCCCCATTGACCCCCTCCTCCCCACTCCCATCCCCCTTCTGCCTTTTCCCACACTGTTGTCTGTGTTCATTGGTTATGCATATAAGTTTATTTCCTCCCACCCCCCAACTCCCTTCTCTTTGAGGTGTGTCAGTCTAGCAACCAATTTGTTCTTAATCCCTTCACATTTTTCACCCATTCCCCCCAAACCCCCTCCCATCAGGCAACCAACAAAATGTTCTCTGTATCTATGGGATTGTTTCTGTTATGCCTGTTCATTTTGTTTGTAGATTCAATTGTCAATAGATATGTATTCATTGCCATTTTTTTGTTCATATATTTTATCTTTTTCTTTAAAAAGACCCTTCAACATTTCATACAATAATGGTTTGGTGGTGATGAACTCCTTTAACTTTTTCTTGTCTAGGAAAGTCTTTATATGGCCATCGATTCCAAATGACAGCTTTGCAGAATAGAGTAATCTTGGTTGTAGGTTCTTGCTTTTCATCACTCTAAATATTTCTTGCCACTCCCTTCTGGCCTGCAAGTTTCTGTTGAGAAATCAGCTGACAGCCTTATGGGAACTCCCTTGTAGGTAACTAGCTGCCTTTCTCTTGCTGCTTTTAAGATTCTCTCTCTGTCTTGAACCTTTTGCATTTTGATGATGATGTGTCTTGGTGTGGGCCTCTTGGGGTTCATCTTGTTTGTGACTCTCTGTGCTTCCTGGACTAGTATGTCTGTTTCCTTCACCAGGTTAGGGAAGTTTTCTGCCATTATTGTTTCACATGGGTTTTCGATTTCTTGTTCTCTCTCTTCTCCTTCTGGCACCCCCAAGATGCGAATGTTGGCACGCTTGAAGTTGTCCCAGAGGCTCCTTACACTATCCTCATTTTTTTGGATTCTTTTTTCTTTTTGCTGTTCTGATTGGGTGTTTTTTGCTTCCTTATATTCCAAATCGCTGGTTTGCTTCTTGGCTTTACCTACTCTACTACTGAATCTGTGTAAATTATTCTTTATTTCAGTTAGTGCCTTCTTCATTTCCGACTGTGCTTCCTTCATTTCTGACTGGTCCTTTTTTATGCTCTTGAGGCCGTAAGTTCATTGAGCATCCTTATAAGCAGTATTTTGAACTCAGTATCTGTTAGGTTGCTTATCTCCATTTCGCTTAGTTCTTTTCCTGGAGATTTGTTCTTTTCTTTCATTTGGGACCTGTTTCTTTTTTGTTTCTATGTATTACTTAACGAGAGCTTTGGGGCTAGCTGAGACCAGATGCTGCTCTTTTGAAAAAATTTAGGAACACCTGAAGCAGGATCCAAGACAGGCCAATCCTATGGTTAAGCAAGTGGCAACAGCTTGGGTGGGCCTGAAGGTTGGGTGGGGCGGGGCCTCAGGGAGTCACCAGGGCGGGGCTCCCAGTGTGAGCCAGGTTGCTGGAGTCCCAGATATGGTGGCTGTCTGCTGCCCCAGGGAAGGGCTCACCAAAGGAACAAAGGCCTCTGACAGCACGTTTGTCCTGGAGAAAGCCCCCTCTCCAGCCCTCGCTCCAGTGCCAAACAGCTCAGTTCTTCCCTGTGTGTCTCTGGCGCCCCTCGAGCTGCCTCCCCTCCAAGCTCAGAGGGAGAGAGTCCGATAAGTCCATGCGCAGGCCCTTTAAGGAGCTGCCTGGGGCTCCACCCGCCTCAGCCTCCCTGAGCCTCAGTTCCCGCTGGTTT